ATATATATATATATATATATATATATATATATATATATATATATATATATATATATATATATATATATATATATATATATATATATATATATATATATATATATATATATATATATATATGTGTGTGTGTGTGTGTGTGTGTGTGTGTGTGTGTGTGTGTGTGTGTGTGTGTGTGTGTGTGTGTGTGTGTGTGTGTGTGTGTGTGTGTGTGTGTGTGTGTGTGTGTGTGTGTGTGTGTGGTGGGGGGGGGGGGGGTGCATGTGTGTAAGAAAAAAAATAGAAAATCATATTTTTAAGCAAAATTACAAGTTTAGAAAAATTTAAGATATAATGTGTCGACCTCAAATGAGTGAGAGTCGACCCATAGAAGTATTTAAGCTTCTATGTGTCGACCCAAGAAACACAGTAGTCAAACTCAAGAAGGTAGGATTATTTGGTTTTTCAAATTTTTAGTTGGAGCCAATCCAAGAGCCTAGTGTGTCGACCCAAACCAGGCAGTAGCTTTTCTTTTAAATTTCCTTCAGTATGTGTTGAACCAAAACACGTACATGTCGACCCATAAAATTGTTGTTCACATAAAACTTAATTTTTTTTCATGTAAAGATGTTTCTAACTTATTTTTAAATGTTCTAAGATGAAAATGCACACCTAAACATAGAGATAAATGTCGAATATACACAAATACTAAGTATCTTAATTTTGACATCATTCAAAACATTTCTAAGAGGATAGAGCACTCACATGTGATTTATCCATACATTTTTACGAGAATGCCTTTATGCTTTATAATGTATTCACTCAGATGAATTAAGTAAAACTTTCTTATACTTCAAGACTTGTCAGATGCTTCATTCGTAGACATTTGGTTGAGTTTACTTTGAGATGATGTTTGAGTTCTATTCCATTTGGTTGCCATCATCAGATAGTCATGTCTATTAAACCCTAATATCATGGTTGATATCATTGACGAATTAACCTATTTATCTTGACTTTAGTTGTTATCACAATCTAGTGCATAATAATATTTAATAGTTGTCATCATCAAAAGCATGGAAAACATAAGTAACTAAGAAATAATTATTTCATCTCATCATCATCATCATTATTATCATCTCTTGAAACTATTGGAGAAATGAGGTTTCTTCTCTCCATTCTTTCAATGAGCTTGGTGATATTTGAATTCATTATTATTTTCCTATCACCGATATAATTGAGGGTGTTTGAGGAAGATGGAGGAAGGTCATTGTTTCTTTGCTACCTTGCTCTTTTTGGTGGTAGTGGAACGAGTTTTCTTTCTTGAATAACGTATCTCATTTTGCTTAGAATCCTTTTTCATATCTTTTTGTGTATGAATTTTGACTCTTGGTCTTCGAAGTCATAACAAGTGTAGGTCAAAATTTTGATGATTAATTTGACATATAATGAGATATGGCAACTACTTTATCAATTTGGTTTCCCAAAATCCTAATTGTAGGAACATCTGATTTATGAATGATGGTATAATTACTTTTTCTTAGGAATATGACATGATTCATAGTATAATGAATTAGCCTACAATCAAGATGTACATGGCTGACGTCTAAGGGAGATGGGGTTCCATATGAGAAGTCAATGAAAAGAGTGTGAGGATAGGTATCAAAATAAAATTCATTATCATTGAGATCGCTTTGATCATAATCTTGCACGACGAAGGGCATGTTACAAATTCTTGCAAAATCTTTGAGAGATAAAGTGATAGCGGCACTTTTTGACTTTGGAGTTAATGATACCATCTCTGAAGAATATATTTGCATAATACATCCTTAAAAGTTCAGGGAACCTCTCTTGAGGCTTCTTAAAAATGAAATCTCTCAGCCTGCCAAAGTTGAAGGCTTCCATCAACACACAATCTTCGAAGATTTCGTCATCCAGGTAGTGACAAACATACAACTCTCTATCAGCATAATATCGATTAAAATTGATCTCTGAGCTTGAGTAGAGAAATCTTCAGAGAAGTAGAAAGGTGATGATTGGGTTCGTTTTTAGGCCATTCAGAGGTGATGATGGATTATTAAGAGAGCTAAAATGTTTCTAAAGCAATGCATAAGAGAGAGTATGATGAGGTGAGAAGAATGATAAAGTTACCTCTATATATAGCTTATCTCCAATCGATTGGAAGGATGTGTCAATTGATTGGTAACTTCAAAAATTATGAGATAGTCGTTTGGATTAACTGTTGAATTTATGTGTCACCCAACTAGCCGGTGCGGTGATCTCCAACGTTTAAATTTCTAATTTTTGAAAAAATGTAGATTAATACTCATGCTATTGTGAGAGAAATTAACAAGAGGAGAGAAGAAAGATTTTTGGTGATGACAGAGCCTTTATATTATTTTACACGTGTGATTGCGTTGGGCAAATAACATGTATAAAAATAAGCAATTTGAACATGTCCTATAGCCTTGCAGATGCTCAAGGTATTTGGATATGGTGAATACCGTTACTTTTGTCCATATACCCCCATTCCTTTGGAGACCACTAATCCTTCTCCAATTCCTTCTTCTATCCCAACTTTAAAAGCTTTTACTTCTATACGTGAGGTATATCAACTTGCGGATGCTACAACTACTTTGACAATGGAGGAATCGACTTCTCCTCCATTTTCGACCAAGAGGGCCCTAAAGGAGGAACAACACTCTCCTCGGACTGAGTGCTCATCAAAATGAACCCATGTCGCTGAAGATGATGCTTCTGGGGAGGTGACTCCCTTCATAAAGATATCAGACATCTTCTCTTTTTAGCTTCCCCATACTCATGAGGAGGTTGCTGCTATTGTTTCGACATCAAGTTTATCCTTCATTCAGAATCTCCCATCTATTGAATAATATGCCATAATCCCATTAACTTCAAACACATGATACGTTTTGGACAATAGAAGACAATATGTTTATAATCTTCTAATCCTTCTCCATAAGCACCTTAATAGGTTTGACATTGAACACCTTTATCTATCAACCATTTTTTTAGTTGGCACACCGTTTCTAAAAATATGCCAAAGAAATTTTTTTACCCTTGGAGGGATTTTTATTTTCCGAAGGAGTTGTCAATTCTCACATACCCTAAGATGTTTTGTTTTAATAGCCTCTTCTACACAATATCGATAGACACTAGAAATTAGATACATGCCATTCTTCTCACACTTCCACACTATTTTATCCTCCTAAACAACTTCAAATAAGGGAGTTTAAATAATTTTTTCTGCTTCTACTTCTCCAACAAGATAATGAATCAAATTAAAATTCCACCGTTTATCATTTATACCCATCAAATCATAGAGCTTTAGCTTTTCTACTATCAGCATAGATGACCAAGGATTCTCTAACAATGAACTACCATACAACCAATTGTGTCCCCAAATCGGAATAGATTCTTTTGATCCGATAATCCACCTATAACCTCCCCGTACAACAAACTTAAAACTTCAAATACTTCTCCATACATAAATGAAATTATGTCCAATAGTTGACTTGAGAAAATCACATCTAAAAAAATATTTAACCTTGAATAAACGCGTGATCAAATTACTTAAACTAATCATAAACTTCTAAGCTTGTTTCCCAAACATAACTGCTTAAATTTCTTGAAACTCATTCTTCCATCATTCTTGAAACATGTTGTAAAACATGTTTCTAACTAATTGAAGTCTTTCTATCATAAAAAGAAGAGACGTCTTCCGACCAGTTAATTTTGCAATTAATGTTATCAACAAAACTTGCAGATAACTGACTTTGAGTGTACTCTCTTAATTTGAAATCCCTAAATATATGAAATGAGTTGTACCAAGACAAAAGCTTAAGAGAACAACAATTACTACCTTCTAACTTACATAGATGAAACCAATATAAATGGTAAATTTTCTCAACCCTTTTAATAATCCATAAGTCGCGATTTCCGTCTTCCTCTCATCAGTACTAATACTCTCTTTAATCACTTAATTTTCTTCTTAAGGAAAACTAAGATACCATTGATACATAAAATAAATTTGATTTTTATTAAATGAATTGAGAATAGATAAGTAGTATATATTAAATGAATAGTAACTTCTCTGGGTAGCATTGGAGATAATTATTAGGCATGGTTCATTAAAAGTTGCTTTGATGTTTGGTGCTAAAACAGTGGAGGTAGCTCCATAATCATAAAGTCGATTTCACTTTGACAGTATCAAATTTTGAATTGCAATTAATAATACGAGTAGAGGAAAGTAAAAGCAGCTATCACCAGGGGAGAGCCACCACATAATTATTTCCTAACATTGGAACATGGTATAGGATGACAGCACATAAATCTTAACACAACAATATTGGAAGCTATATACCCAAATCAATCTTCAATTCAACTCTACCCTAGTAGTGTAAGGCAATCAATGATTTTCAAGCAAACTTCTTTCATACAAAAGTTCTATAAAAATTTGAACTAGTTTTGTTTCGGTCGACTTTAAGCTTGCTGAACTATTGTTTACTGATCAAAATAGTTTCATGCTCTTGATCATTTATATATAACACTCAGGCTCCTCAATTCATTAAAATGTTTCTTTAAAGAATAATATTTTATGACAATATTATTGTATTTTTTATTCTGTATAAAAAAACTTAAACAAAAATTATTTTGAAACGGGGAAAATATTTTATATTTGATTTTCAAGCAATGTAGTATTTTATTAGATGATTCAAAACGAATTTCTAAGATAGTTATTGTCATTGAAGAGTTACATACTTGTCACAGCCCTTTGGAAGGGTAAATAAAAGTAAATCTTGGAAAATGTGTGCAGGGTGTGGGTCTATTTTGTGTGGTGTTAGTACTTAAGTTTTTCAAGGTGTGGGAGCAACATATTAAAACCATTATATTTTCTCTTTCTCTCTCTTTCTCTGTCTAGTGAGGACCATTTAGAATAGAAGGGTTGTTTATAGTTTCAAAACAAACTTGGTGTAGGCTTTCTTCTTGGAATTGTTCTTCTCTTTTGTATGGACATGAAGGGATATTATTCAGTTTCCTTGACAAAAAAACACATGAAAGACTCATTTTTTTCACCCCAATTCACAACAAGACAACACCAATGCAAACAAGAAAATCATCTTGTCTCAGAACAAACAAGTTTACTAAATCATTCTCTCAAATTGTCTTCTTCCACTTCCCAAAACAATCTACCACCTATTCTACATGTTTTTGTTACTTTGCTTCTGTTTTTTACCTCTATTAGTCCTATCTTGTCACACCCCATTCTCTCAAATTCAACTTCATCACAACAACTAATCTCTCACACCAACAATGTTAACCAAACTTTTAGACCGGATTTCGCATTGCGTAAATTGAAGAGAATCAGAGCTCACTTGACGAAGATCAACAAGCCTGCCGTCAAGACAATTAAGGCATTTTATTTTTTTTTATTTTTAAAATATTTTTTAAACGAATCGAAACGACAAGTGCTAAATCTGAATTTGATGCATTTTTCTTGTGATTCAATTATTAGAATTAAATTCTTTTAGTACTTTTTGCAGAGCCCAGATGGAGATTTGATAGATTGTATTATATCTCATCAACAACCAGCTTTTGACCATCCAAAACTCAAAGGACAAAAACCATTGGTAATTAATTTCATTTTTCATCTAATGTAACATGTTTAATTTAGTCCTAGAAAAGGACTAATGTTTTTTTTTTTTACTTAAAGTGGTTGAATTGAATTTGAGAGTAAGAGGCTTAAGGTTTACAGGATCCACCAGAAAGGCCAAAAGGGTACAACAATAACAACAACAATGTAGAAAATGCAACATATAACTTTCAGCTATGGACTGATTCCGGCGAAACATGTCCTAAAGGAACAGTTCCAATCAGAAGAACAACAGAACAAGATTTTCTTAGAGCAAGTTCTGTTAGAAGATTTGGAAGAAAACCAAGAGGTGTTAGGAGAGACTCATCCGGCACCGGTCATGAGGTAATTACAACTTATTAATACTTCAAATTTTCAACATTTGAATTTCAAAACTTAAAACATTGAAGGGACACCACTCACCAAAGTTTTCTTCCCATATGTACCAAAAAGTGACATCAAAATCATTACACACAATTTTTCATTGCAGCATGCAGTTGTTTTTGTAAATGGAGAACAATATTATGGAGCAAAAGCAAATATAAATGTTTGGACACCAAGAGTAACGGATCAATATGAGTTCAGTTTGTCGCAGATTTGGGTTATTGCGGGATCATTTGGTAATGATCTTAATACAATAGAAGCTGGATGGCAGGTAGGTTCAATTTTTTTTCAGTGTTTAAATATTATAAAAATGTTAAAGAAATTTAAATGTCTGTTACTAGTAATAAGAATGTAAATTTTGTTTCAGGTAAGTCCTGAGTTATATGGTGACAATTATCCGAGATTCTTCACTTATTGGACTGTAAGTATTGCGTGTTTCTTTTTATTTTTCTTCGCTTCTAAGTTCATTCTTTTCGCTTAATTCTTTCAAATATTTGATTTTTTACTTTGATAGACGGATGCGTATCAAGCAACTGGATGCTACAATTTACTATGTTCGGGATTTATACAAACAAACAACAGGATAGCAATAGGAGCTGCAATCTCTCCGAGATCAATCTATAATGGAAGACAGTTTGATATTGGCTTAATGATTTGGAAAGTGAGTATTTCATTACTTCTTTTTTACCATCCAATTCTTTACTTGTTATGAATCACATTCGCAAACGCCTCAGACATCAAATAGAACTAATTGAATGTAATCACGTGTGTCAAGGTTGCATCGGTATCACATTGACACAAGTTAGACACTAAATATGCATTCATTTAGAAGTGTGGTTACTACATTTCAGTGTCTTTTTGAAGGTGTTTTGTTGAGCCTTTTTTGGTTTTTCAAACAATTTTTTTTTACTTGACATAAAAAAGTTAGGCAGGGATATTGCAATGTAGGATTGAAAACTTTGTGTCCAAGTGAAGCAATAATTTTGTTTACTTTATTTATTCTGCATTCTTCTTTTGAAATTTTCTTTATGTAATTGTTATTCAAATGGAAGATTCCCTGCCTTTTTTCCATCTACGAGTGTCCCTCATGGGGTAGCTCTGTTCCTATCTTTATTTTTTTCTCCCTTTATTAAAGCAATATTTTACGGTTAACTTATGCTTTTTAACATTAGTTTTTCCGTAACTGGCTTCAAAGATACCTTATTTACTTTTTCTATTCTATACTTTCATCCAAAACTAGCATTAATTAACCATTAAGTGAACACTAATCTTGTTAAGCAAAAATTAATCTTCTCCATTTCTCACTCTACCAAATTCTTCAATTAGCGTACTAATAAAAATATAAACATGTTAATGTAACATTATGTAGTAGAGTTCAATATTCCATATGCACTATAAATCACCCTAAATCTTGAGTAATTGAGTTGATTCATTTTCATAATATACCCAATCATGCACATTAGTGAAGTTTGGGACGCGAAAATGGATTTCGTGTGGTTGGATATGTCTACATTTACACTGTCAGTACATTACCGACTAATTGCTTTAGATCATTTGGTTTATAAAATATATAGATTTTGATAAATTTAAACGGTCTGATCTTAATCTAACAACCACCAATATACTGACCGTGTGAACTTAAGATTAGCTCTATCTCTTTTGACACGCGCTATAACATATACTTAATGTATATTTTTATTTATATATAGGATCCAAAGCATGGACATTGGTGGCTTGAGTTTGGATCAGGTCTATTAGTTGGATATTGGCCAGCAAACATATTTAGTCACTTGAGAAATCACGCAAGCATGGTACAATTCGGAGGAGAAATCGTGAATTCGCGATCAAGAGGCTACCACACAGCAACTCAAATGGGAAGTGGACATTTTTCAGGAGAAGGTTTTAGAAAAGCAGCATATTTTAGAAACTTACAAGTAGTTGATTGGGATAATAACTTGCTTCCTTTATCAAATATTCACCAATTATCTGATCATTCAAATTGCTATGATATTAAAGAAGGAAGAAACAATGTTTGGGGAACTTACTTTTATTATGGAGGTCCCGGAAGAAATGTGAGATGTCCATGAATATGAACAAGTTATTATTGATACTAAAGAAACTACATTCTTCTCTTTTATGTTATAAGTATATATTCTTTTTTTTTTACTTTCCCACTTTTTTATATTTTTTAATATATTTTGGGAATTTTAGTCTTTTATAACAAGGGTTACATGGTTTGATTGTATTTCTTCCTAGTTCTTTCTCAACTATAGAAAATTGTTTTTTTTTTCTATAATGAATTTCAAACATATAGTAATATATACTATATTGTGGTGATGAAATTGACTTTGACTAATAAACTTGGTGTGCATTGTTTTTATGTATGATTTTTCATGGTTTAACAAAGTCCAATGTAATTGTAAATTATAGATTTTAGTGCTAATTAATGCACCCGTTAAATATGGGTATGCATTTGGGGAAACTGCAAAGCTCGAATAGTTATGCATTGAAACTTCTATGCTAGAATCTATCTGTTTTTAGTTAGGAAAACCCATTATTTAATGAATGGTGAAGAATCGTTTTCCTTTTCTCCACCAAGCATGTGTTTTATCACTACTATTTTTTTGTTTATAATACTAGTTTCTTACTAGGACAAGGTTCAAACTCATATACATAACCCTAAACTTCTTATTTAGATCTTCTCTGTCTTCACTGATTTGGTCGTAAAAATAATTGCATCTATATGTGGCAATATCAAGTTTTTCAAAGAAACATAAAAAATAAAAAAAAGCCAAAATTTCTTGAAAAGTAAGATTCAAGTCAATGTTATAACTGTATTATTTTACTAGTCTACAAAGTCTTGCATCATCCAAAACTAGAAGAAAAAAAAAAAGGAGCACATGGGTTCATTAGAAAAAAGTAGTGTACAAGTTAGTTGCATCCTAGTGTCCTAATGAATGTTGGTAGAAATATTGTGGTGACAAAAATATGGTTTGTTTTTAAAAAATTAATAATATTTTGTGTAAAATAAATAACTAAAGAATTGATGCTTTCATGCGTGACAACAAAGCATTCCCCACTAGTTTGAAAATATTATTCTATTGGTTCAAAGTCTCTTTTTCTTTTAAAAAGGACTTGGGAAAAGTTCCCACAAATTCCTAAATATATTTTCTGAATGCTAGATAGTGTTGGACAAAAGAGTCATAGTTCTTAGAGGTGATGGAAGAATTGTTTTTTTATAAGGAATTAATTATGAATTATGAAGGCCCAAATTGGAAAGGCCTATGAAAACAAGATTCCACATATGAAGAAGGAAAAAGAGCACTTTGTTGTGAGATGTGATGAAACTGAAAATTTATAATATTTAAATAACTAAATTAAGAATAATTGAATTAAAATATTATAAACTGTTTATCTAATGTATAACTGTGAATGATCTATAATTAAGAAAAAAAACAAAAAATAACTTGTGTTGCAACTACTTGTTATCAATGTTTCAACTGTTGACATATTAAACAACAATCTTTAAAATTAACACAATGTTTTGATTTGTAAAATGAGAAATTTTTTTTATTAAAAAACAACTCATAAGGGATATTATATTAAGCAAAATATGATAAAAATAGTTACATTGTGAAAAACTTCCTTGTATACAACATTAGATGTACCAATTATATGTTCTATATCTTTGTCATGATCAAAATTTTAAGATCTTGTTTAGACTTAACTCTAGAAATTGCCACATATAATGTGCCATGATTGAAAACATCTTTCGATACATATAAAAAAAACATTTCTAAAAATTGACCTTGAGACTTGTTAGTTGTTATAGCAAAAGAAATAACAATTGAGAATTGTCTTCTCACCAATTTAAATGTCACGGTGATTGTGAGGAGAACAAAGACATTCTTGAAATATAAATGATGTTACCAATATTTTTTGCCAGGAATAATCTTAGCTTCAATGACGTGATTAGTAAGCCTTACTGCGAGCCTTATACCATTACATGATTCTTCATATGTATCCAAGTTATGCAATAACATAATAGTAGCACCAACTTTCAACTTTATTGAATGGTTAAGCAATTAAGATGTTTTTAGAGCATTCAGGAATTTAGGGGTTAGGTGCTTAAATGCATCAAATTCAATAGATTCAGATCTATCAATAGAATCACTAGTGAAGTATTCCTTTTCTTCTCCTAAAAGAAAAATATAATGCAATTGTTAAAGCTATATAAATAGATGGTATACATTAGTGATGAAAATAAAATAATTTAAATGCATATGGAGTACTGAAAGAAGGTTTGTGATGTATTGATTGATATCATCGACTACTTCAATTGTTGAAGTCAAAATGACATGACTTTTAAGATAGTTGGAATCATGGTAGTTATCAATGAGATCAAGATATGTACTTTCAACAATTGCTCCAATTGGATCAGAAAAATTAAAAATTAGAAACTCATCATGAATTATAATGTCAACATAACCATCATTTGGCTCTAACATGGTCCCATCTTCAATCTTTAATATCCACTCTGAAAATAATTGAATTTCCTCTCTGGTAGAATGATGTTGCACCACTTTGCAAGCACATGTTCTTTGTAAGTTTGAGGATTTTGAAATGATCCCAAATATAAGAAGCATTGATTGCTGCATGAACAATATCTGATCTACTACCTCTTAGTATAACTGGAAGAATTTGTTTGAAATCACCACCAAAAACTACAACCTTTCCTCCAAAAATCTTTTTAGAAGCTTGTGTATTTTTCACTCAAAAAATCTTTTAAACTTCTATCTAGAGCCTTAAAGCAAAATTTGTTATCCATATGAGCTTTAAACTTCTATCTATCAACTTTAATAACTTAACAAGTTCATATTTTTTGTCAATGTTGCAAATTAAAGTTTTCAAAGTAGGAACTGAATTCTAAAATTTAGAATGAGTTGTTCTTCCACCTGGTAACAACAAATTGGCAATCCCACTTGAGGCAACATACTAAACTATTTTCCTTTTTAATCGAATCGTGATCGGAAAAATAGCAAGTGTACTAATTTTGCCAATGTAGTAATAATAGGGGAAAAATCCCCAGTATCGATCTAAAGGATTGCATATGAATACCGATTTTAACTATTGTTCAATTAAACAAAATATATTGGGGTTTAAATTTTTTTTCTCCAAATTATGAATTAACAGTGAGTAAATATAACAGAATAGTAAATTGGTTTTAACAAATATGAAAAACATGTTAGGGAACGGTGTATGATTTGTCATGTAACAACTCTAAATCCTTATTTCATTAACAAGTTCAAAATAATCAATTACCGATTTTTAGTCTATTTTCCTCTAAGTCCTTAGTGGGGAAAACTCTGATCATTCATCCTAAATTCTAAGTCCCTAGGAATTTATGATGAAATCAAGCATTTGTGTTATCAAGAATGTATCGGTTGCTATAGGGTATCCCTAGTCCTAGGTGATATCTACTATAGCGTAATCGCACAAAAGCATTAATAATGGCGGTCCAACCTAATTGTTAATTGTTAATCAATCCCTATTGGTCCAACAGAGAAGGCATTAGAAACATTGAACAATTGAATTGATTAAGAAAAACAAATATATAACTGAAAATAGGAAATCAAAGTCGTTTATAGAGTCAAATCAGGGACACCCCTAGCATTTGGGGGTTTAATTACTCATACTGTTCAAAGGAAATACAAGATAAAAATAGACAGTACAAGTATTGGGGTAAACTTGGATCTTTAATTCTTCCACTCATGAAAATCTCCCACCCTCCAAAAACCTTGTCTTCTCTAATCTTGAATCATGTAATTCGTTCCTATCAAAAAAGTTTCCTCATTCCTCGTAAAAACTCTTCTAAATAGTGAAAATTCAATGGCACTGGTTGGAAATTCCCAAAACACCATCGCAACTCAACACTTGGACCAAAAACAAGAAAATAGGAGAATCAACGTTTTAAGCTGACACGACCTGTGTCAGGTAACATGGGGGCCCGTGTTGCTCTTCTGTGTTTTCCATTTTTTTTCTCCAAGCCCCAGACCTTGTGACCTGGCCTGTGTCAGTTGACACGGGTGCCTATGTTGCTTCACGGTCTCTAGTTTTTCTTGGTACTTGTCTCAGCTTCTATCCCGACACTACCCGTGTCAGGTGACACCGCCCGTTTTAGGTGGCACGGGTGGCCATGTCAGGCCTCTTGTAGGTTGAGCCAACTTCCACCAAAACTCCAGATTTTTCCACTTTCTCGCACCGAGTCTTTTGGATCTAATACTTGGTCGTAAAGAAAATCAAAGGCAGACAACCAAAGCATAAAACACAGAAAACTTGAAAGAAAGCTTGAAACAATAAAGTGAGTAGAAACCTTACGGTACATAAAATTGTCGCAAACGATAACAAAATAAACGCAAAGTGCCACAGAGTACTTGAATTCTTGTCGAATAAGTGATGAAAATATAGTACAAATGGTGACTGATCACAACCCCAAACTTATCTCGTTGCTTTTTCTCAAGCAATGCTCAAGGCCATACAACATGTCACCCCCAAAATTTAATGCTTACCACAGTACCGCTATGATTTTTCGCAACCACTCTCGCTTCTTCTTCCAAAGTCCCCTGTGTTCCTCAATCAATTGTTCCGCTACACTTCCAAATCAAAGTACTACTTTACCTATCAGGTTATTTCTCACTCTCACCAAGACTTTCGGGGTTAAAGTGTTTGCACTCAAAAGTTCACAATATGCAATATCAACTCATAAGCTTGAATAAATTCTAATTTCATTTCACATGCACATAACACACACTATTTGAGATCTTTAGGGTTGTAACGGGGCTTAGGTTAAGGTGGGATACGAAAGAGGGAAAACGGTTTTTAGGCTCAGAGTCAGTGTTATATTTCCTTTCACCGTTGTTCCTTCCAAACTATCATTGTGGGGAATCTTCAAACACAACCTTCTTTTGTTATTCAGCTTCACTACTCAGTTTTACTTTTTTGTCTACTTATTGTATCCACTAAGTATCTTTGATGAATGCCTTTTTTCTTTGTGCGATCATATTTTTTTTTCAATTTTTCTTTCTAT